TTCTATTACTCTTGTTCTCTTCTGCTTGTTTTCTTTTTTCTTTCTCAGCAGGTGATCCAGGTGATTGATAAATGCATTTTTTTTTCTGCTCATTCTGTTGGTTTTTGTCTTTTGCCCTTCTCCCCCGTCCCTCTTCTCAGCTGTTTCTCTTTCCCTCTTTCTTTCTCCCCTTCTTTCCCCCAGTCAAGTCTGTCCCGTATTCAGTAAGTGAAAATAAAATAAACAATAAAAGGTGAATCAAATGGACCATTATGGCAAGGCTGGGATGGTCAATTTGGTAAAGTAAATCCGTTGGGCATCTTTCTTTGCCATTAGACAACAATTCTGATGGCAAAAGAGCCAAACGGGACAGGCAAAAAAAAAAAAAAAAAAAAGAAAAAAAAAAGAAAGAAAAGATCGAAAACTAAAAAACCCCTGCACAGAACTGTGCAATAATTTATCCATTTTCTTATAATCATTATCATATTTCACTGATTTATTTGTTGCCTCCTAAAGTTCTTTTAATTTTTAAAAACTCTTAAGTCTAACCTGGAGTGGTTTGCTGCTTAAAGAAAGGACCAAATGACCAAAAAAATCAGTTTAAAAAAATACAAATTTTAGTTGAGAATCAAATTTCTATTAATGTATCTAATGAAAAAGCGAAGTAAGAAAAGAAGAGTTGCGACATAATCTTGACAATATTACTGGCCTAACAGTGAGGAAGGCATGATTTTGTACAGCTGTTGAACAGTTTCAGTAACTGTAGCTTTTGAGCACAATAATAAACAGCAGAATCTTCAGTTTTCAGACTCATCTGCAGATACAGCTGCTGCTTGTTGTCTCTGGAGGTGGTAAACCGGCCTTGGTCTGACTGAGAATAGTAAGTGCTCCCACCATCATATCTAATAATGGCAACCCATTGGTGAAATGCTGTAATAATTTGTTGATGTCGTTTATACATGTTTAGATAGTGACATACTTCTCAGTAATCTCTACTGTAAGTGATAATGACACTGTATGTTTTATTGATTTTTAAAAGAGTATATGTTATTCTTTTTTAACGTGTGTCTTTTAATGGGTTGTAAGGGCATGCCAAAACTATGTCTGTTTTTTAGGAAAAAAGCCCTGAGTCAACCACATATTCCCTGGTGTTGGGAAATAGAGGAAGTCGTTTTTGTATGGTATTTCTATTGCTGTCTCTCACTGTGTTGTGTCGGGCACAGTAATAAACTGCTGTGTCCTCAGTCTTCAAGCTGTTCATCTGTAGGTAGAGTTTACTGCTGGAATCATCTCTGGAGATGGTGAATCTACCCTGGACTGACTGGGAATAATACGTAGAATAACTATAAGTTGAAGTGCGTATAATAGCAATCCATTCCAGTCCTTTTCCAGGAGCCTGTCTGATCCAGTGCATCCAGTAGTTGCTGAATGTGAATCCAGATGCTGTACATGTCTGTCACGGCTGGCGGAGGGAGCCGTGTGGTGTGGAGGAAAAGGAGGACCCAAGATGCAGCAAACTGATGATACGAGTGATGTTTTATTTACAAAGGTGGTGGTGACAAAAACAGGCAACGAGGTATGAGTACTTTACAAACGGAAACCTAAACTGGGAGAAACTAAGTGACAAACCTGAGACCATACAAAAGGGGTGCGGGGCAGAGAGACGCAGAGACAGGAACACCATAGAACGCAGAGATACACGGAAGAATGCAGTGATACATGGATGAACGCAGACGAGCCGACAATGAACATAGACCGACACCCACTAAATATACACACGCAAGGTAATCAGGTAATCACACACAGGAGGGAAGAACAGCTGAACCTAATAATACACATGAGGAGCGGAGGACAAGCTGAACACAATGACAACAGACACAGACTTTCAGAACAAAACAGGAAATCTAGAACCCGAACCGGACACAAGGGGGGAGGACACAGAATAACTAGAACAGAGGAAAATAATCACAAAACACAAAACGCTGGGTCAACGACCCAGGACCATGACAATGTCAGCCTGTGTGAATTACCAGGGTTTTTGACCACTGGTTCAGACTGTGTCAGAGTCTGGCCATCAACACCTGCCCAAATGAAAAAGAAATGTATTAGAGAGAGAGAGAGAGAGAGAGAGAGAGAGAGGTACATATACACCATATACATATACAATTTTCACCTGCCCAGCAGACAGTTAAAATCAGCAGCCCTGCCCTATAGGCCATTGTGTGATCTGAGTGTTAAATGTTCCTTTCAACCCTCAGTTAAGTAGAAGTTGAGTTTTTGCATTTGAATTGTTGACTCCTCCTCACAGAAAGGAATCAACTGCTTCTGACAAGATTTGTGTTGCACTTTGTATTATAGCTGCGTAATCAGTGTTGGGTAAGTTACTTTAAAATAGTAACTTAGTTACATTACTAGTTACTTCTCTCAAAAGTAACTCAGTTACTTCAAGTTACTCGTTACTTTCAAAGTAACTAGTTACTAGGGAAAGTAACTTTGGTTTTACTCAGAATTCTCTTGTTAATGTGTTGCTTCCATAACTTTGCCAGTCTTCTAGCTTGTTTACTTGCCACAAGTGCACTGTGCCACCTACCAATAGAAAGGAAAAGATAATGTGCATATTTCCACGAGAGAAATCCCACGCCTGGACCGTCGTTGACTGCTGCCATGATTCTAGCCTACGTCACAGCTTCATGTGCGCCTTTTACATCCAACACAAAAACTGCAGTCGTGGTGCTTTCGATTGTACTCAGAACTCGGAAATTCTGCCTTCTGAATAGGAAGATGTAGGTAACACCAGACTGCAGATGAGCTGCATACAGGGCTGGACTGGGACAAATAAATCGTCCCGGGTATTTTGACTAGAGACTGGCTCACCATTATAGGAAAAATCATAAAGCCTTTGAATGAAAATAAACATTGTTGTGACAGTGATGTACACAGTTTTGATGGTATATATGCATCAATCTATCAATCGTTTGTTGTAAGATTCAGATAATTATTTTTTAAAAGCTAGACATTTTAAATGAGAATAAGAAAGAAAAGTATTTCTTTGTGCCCCACCTTTCCCTGTTAATGCCCTACATGGACCCCTGGCAACACTTTGCTAGACCCACACCTGCACAGTTACCAGCTGTCAGCTACCTAAAAAAGGATCCTGGGGTTATTTGTCTCTCAGAAACAGTTCATAACTTCCCTTCAACTCATTCATGTCACCTAAAAGGTAAACCTGTTTCTCCATCACAGCTCTGATGATTCAGTAAGGACATCTCCTGGTTTCATCTTCATGTTTCCCTCTCACCACATAACCAAACCGACATCATGACCAGCAGCTTTTTTGCAGCTTTGGCTCCAGCAAACATCAGCTGATACTAGAAATTAATATTAAATAAATTCTAACAATAGCTGATCAAGCTTAAACGTGCTGCTGTTGTTTAACGCGACATCCGCTGGTTTCCTCTTTCGGTGCAAAGTGAGCGATAAACAAACAAGAGAGAAAAGACGATCAGCTGATCATTGATCAGTTTTCATGATTGAAGTAGAAACGGGAGAGGGAGGGGAGAGGATGAGAGAAGAAGAGGCAGCTGTGCAGCGTAAACACAGAATAACTCCAGCTTTGTGCCTTTTTCATTGTAGCTGAATTACGGGACAAACTGTTCCTTTTCACCTCAATAAGAAACGCGTAATATTTCTCTGAATACCATACGGGACGGTTGGCAACTCTAATAACTTATGAACAAAATAAAGTTCAACATCATTAACTTCATAGCACCACCCAGCTGTATAGAAACTCTGTCATGCTAGCTAGCACGCAGTACGGAAAAAGTCAGAATAACGAAAATAAACTCCACCTAAACTTGGTTCATATCTGACCCAGAGAGACTGCAGGTCATAACTTCTTACCTGAAGTTCAGTTCACACTTGGACCGGCGGCCGCCTCGGGTCTCTTTTCCTTCTGCCTCCCCTTTCCTTCATCCACCTGCTGGCTTCCACCACTTGCTAATGTTACTGAATCTGTGGAAGCTCCGCGATAGCCACCACACGAAGTAACGAGTAACGACCCTATCTAAATCCCAGTAACGAGTAACGCGTTCCTGATTTTGGCATAATAACTAGTTACCGTGCTCGTTACCACAATAATAACGTAGTTACTGTAACGCGTTACTTAATAACGCGTTAGTCCCAACAATGTGCGTAATAATGGGGAAAGTAGGGTAACAAGGCAGAAACAAGAAGGTAATAATGGAGTAATTTTCAAACCATTACTACTCAATTACCTGTGGTAGTTTCTGAGTAATAAGCAGGAAACAGAAGTGCAAAATGTAAACCTGCCTTTTTTCAATGAAATATATTGTCTAAACCTAAACTTAATATAGAGAAATGACCATATGAGGTATAGTAGAATATTAAAACATGTACAGACTTTTACGACTTACAGTTGGTTCGTGGCTCTCATTTTTCAAGTAACAACTGGTAAAAAATTGATTACATAACCAGCTTTAAGGCTCACATTACACACAAAGAAAATGAGAAAATAAGAACAAAATAATTTTATAGAAATCTGTAAAAATTTCCATTGATTGATTTAAACAAAACACATGTCAAGCATCTCACTGTTTCTAATATGTAACTTCACACTTTACATATTATTAAGAATTTTTATTTTTGTCTTTGTACAAAACAACATTTTTGTGTTTCTCACAACAACTAAATGTTGTGAGGCAAAACGACAACAAATGGAAACTAAACACCCTCCACCAGAATTGTGCTACTGATTTATTCAACTCCTTATAACCTTGTTTATTTATTTGTTGCATTCTGAAGTTAAGACCTAAAAAGATATTTTTAGTGTTTGTGTTTTTAATGTATATTTTTACAAGTGATTTTCTTTTTCTGATCGACTGTCTCTTCCTCTAATAAGCATCTATGTCAAAACATAATAAGTGGCCTGGGGGCTCCTCCTCTGGTGAATTTAAGTATTGAGGCTCTCACTGGTTTTTGTACAGAGCTGCTGATTTTTTTTGTTAATGTGGGAGTCTGGCACAGTAATACACAGCTGTGTCTTCAGGCTGCATATTCTGTCCACTTAATGTCACTCTGCTGTTGGAGGAATCTGTGGAAATGCTGAACTTGCTTTTAAGTGAATCTTTGTAGTATGTTGTAGATCCAGCTGCCATCCCAATCCACTCCAGTCCTTTTCCTGCAGGCTGTCTGATCCAAGCTGTGTAGTAGCCAGTAACAGAATAAGAGACCTGACAGGTGATGGTCAGACGGTGACCTGGCTGCACAGTCTCTGAGGCTGGCTGTGTCAGCTGTTCACACTTCACACCTGTTTAAAAAAAAAAAAAAAAGATTTGTGACAAATTGTTTATATTACAAAACAAATACTGTGAATGTTAAAGAGACTCACGTGAAGTGGCTAAGAGCAATAACAGAGCTACAGAAAACATGTTTTTTGATGAACGTGTCATGATATGAACTCCACAACACAGGCTGATGTCAAGCTTTTATACCTGCATAACAGAAGAAGTCAATGAATTTGCATACAAATGCATAAAGCATTCATTAGGGTCTAACTGAAGCCTGCTGAAAAAAAACTGCCTATACAAACAACATGAAAATATGCAAGGAAAATTATTCTATTAGATTCTAATTTCATTACTCACTCAGATGTAAGACATACATTATGAAAGGTGACTTCGTTTTACTGTTGTTACTTTGCAATGTATTTTAAGTTCAAGCAATGAGATGATAAGGGACTGTGAGAGTTATTTCAGTTAATCTTATATTAGACTGCTGTTACACACACACTCTCAGATACCTGCTGTACTCTACCTAAGTGCTTCTCAAATAAATATAAAATTGTGACTCAATTGGTATCATCTAAATACTGTAAATTATTAAGTTAATAGTAAATAGTAATATGTAAGATTGCCTGTAAGAACAGTTATAACAAGTGTATTTTTGTGGAAGGCAAAGTAAGAATGTTCTAAGTATGTGCCGGATGTTTGAATCACCCTTTAAAAGAGTCCATGATCAGAGTCACTGTGTTCAGTCCAGCCACTGTGACCCTCGAGCACAGTAACAAATAGAATCTTCATTTTTCAAACTGTTTATCTCCAGATTCACATGCTTTTTTGCTGTTGTCTCTGGAGATGTTTAAACAGCCTTGAGCTGACTGAAAATTCTCACATATCCTGAGATACAGCTCCACTTTTTTATAGTGTCTCTCACTGAAATAAAAATACAACAGAACATAACAGACTGATAAAATATATGTGGTGGGGTGTGGGCTGTCAGTCAGCTGCAGAGGCAGTGGTTTCAGGGGCAGGGTCAGTGGGAGGCTGGCGGCATTCATCTAATCATGTGTTGAGTAGCACGCCGGAACCTGGAGATGCGAGCTGAATGTGGAACTGTACGAAAAATAAAGAATAAACTCCAAGAATTTCTGTTGTCAAAAATTAAATGAGAAATGGCTCTGAAGTGTTTATAAGCAGGCAAAACGTGCATAGAAGTCCCTCTACAGGAGGAATTTGTTATTCAAAAACTCAGTTACACAACTTAACTTTTTTGGAAAGCAGATAAAATCATATAAGATTATGAGCTGTTTGTCTAGTGTTAATCTGTACATAAGACATAAACAGTATTTGTAAATCTTAAAAGAATAGTGTTGCCATTTGCTTTCTCTCACAACTTATTGTACTGAATACCGGATTTGTGTGGATATGTGTGGATATATGGATAAGTGGTGGTGAAAAATTTCTCATCATTATACTATCTGTTTATTATTATATAAGAATTAATAGTTTAATCTTTCTGTTGTGTTTGCTACAGTAAAACAATCTCATCACAGGATCTTCAGGCAACTCTTCAATATTTTAAACAACACATGGATTTTTCTGCCTTCTCAGTTATATTTACAGTAATATTTCAGAATGGGTTCTGAAATTTATTGTTAACTGTTAATGGTTTATTTTGAACCTTGGAGTTTGATTGTGTGAGTATTTTGTGTGGGTAAGTAGCAGAAGAAATTGCCTTTTTTTGGATTAATAAAGTTATCTGAATGTAATAGGAACATGAACCCCAAAACTGGAAGATCGGGCCTCAGTAGATTACAGGCACAGCATCAGAGGTGTCTATCCAGTGTGAATGTGTGTGTGAATGGGTGGATGACTTAATTTAGTGTAAAGTGCTATACAAATACAGGTCATTTGTATGGTAACGGTTTACCATTTATCCAGAAGAGTGCAGTCTAAGGGAAAGCTAAGATACTGTCAATACAGAACCTCTGGTGAAGAACACACAACCAGTCCTAAAATCTCTAATATCCAAATTTCATTTTCATAACAATACTGAGAGTTGTATTAATGAATAGTGTTTGTATAGGATCTAGGAAATGTTTTTTTATGTATATATTTATTCTTATCTTACAAGAAAGAAGTAAATAATCTCTTTTTAACCAGTTGCTGTTATAACAGAAGAATCTGAGCTCAGACAGGTGACATCCAATGAGTGTCCAGACTGCAAATATTTAGTCTAGCCTGATGAGACAGATACTAAACACACTAGTGGAAGCAAAAATCATTGTTACCTCCATGGATCACTGATCTGATTATTCAGAAACACACACATTACTCAAATATATCCACCTAAAGGTCTTATCAGTATGCAACTATCCAGCATAACAGCTACAGGGAAAATGGTTAAAGCTGAACTGAATTGATCTCTGTTTATCTGACTTTATCAGACAATCATAATTGAGTATTATACTAAGGAGTGAAAATAATACTACAGTCATACTCATATTGAGCTATTGATGCTATTAACCTAAAAAGTCTTTTTTAAATGTGTTTATTTAGTTTTCTTTTTTGTTTTTTTTAATCTCTCCAAATTCTTTACTACTAAAATTGTGCAAAAAGTGGTGCCCACCTAAAGAAAACCAGTGATGAAGCAAACAGATTTAGAGACTGCTGTCAGTAAAGCTGTCCTGCTTTCAAGTCAATTCATTTTAACAACTTTGTTAGAGTTTTGAAACTGTTGGTTGAGATTCTGTCTGACAATGAACACATGCAAACGTAACAGGACAGACCAGATCATGTTAAATAAATGTCAAAGAAAGCTTCACCTGCCAAAAAGAGACTTGAAGACATTGTTGTCCTGTCTTACAGTCTATCATGTTAAAAAAAAAAAAAAAAAAAAAAAAAAAAAAAATCATTGTTATCTCCATGGATCACTTATCTGATTATTCTGTGTTTATTCAGAAACACACACATTACTAAAATAAATCCACTTAAAGGTCTTTACAATATCCAACTGTCCAGCATAACACCTACAGAGAAAATGATTAAAGCTGAACTAAACTGATCTCTCTTGCTCTTTCTTCTGACTTCATCAGATAATAATATCTGATTATTATACTAAAGAGTGAAAATAATACTAGTCATATTCATCTTAAGCTATTGATGCTATGTCTAACCCAGGCCATGTAGTAGCTGCTGAGTGTGAATCCAGAGACTGTGCAGGTCTGTGGGACTCTCCAGGCCTTTTAGTAACTGGTTCAGATTCTGTCAGAGTCTGACCATTGACACCTGGGAAGAGTTTTCAAAAATTATGTGAATTAATTTGTGTCACAAAAACATTATTTATGCATATTGAAGTTGAATCTTCACCTGCCCAGTAGAGAGTAAAGAGAAGCAGTGTCACAGTCTGGCGAGGGCAGACTGTATGAATTGAAAAAAAGGACCCAAAATGCAGATTCCAAGGAACAGGGAACAAAACTTGAATGTTAACAAAAGGTGAGCCGTTTAATATGGCTGGTAGAAAAGGTACAAACAAAGGGCAAGGCAAACTGAAGCAAAATTAACACAAACCTAAACTGGGGAAATCTAAACAAACAATAAGAAAAACCTAGACAAGAAACTTGGAAGCATAGCATGGCATGGACAACAGACGACCTGACCATCACACACTGAAAACAGAGGACTTAAATACACAGGAGGTGATTAGGGGAAGTGGAGACACATGAGGAAACAGCTGGCACACATGAACATAATGACGTCACAGTGGGAGAGTAAAACTGAACATGATGAACACAGAACACCAGACCTCTTCACAATAAAACAGGAAACATAATGAGACATAGACATGACAACCCGAACTTGACAACGTAAGACACAGACATGAAACGCATGAAGAGCAGGGGAGATTTAACATGGTTGGAAACACGAGGGGAAAATAATAACTAGAAACACTTAGGCATAATAATACAAACTTGATAACATAAGACACGCAGCATGAAACACGAAGGGTGAGGGGAAGCTTAAATACAGGGGAAGAAAACACAAGGAGTCTAATAACCAAATGAACTTAGATAACCTAATGAACAAAATAAAATCAAACTTAAAACGCTGGGTCAAAAGACCCAGGACCATGACAGAGCCCCCCCTTCAAGGGCGGATTCCAGACGCCCAAAACCATGAACAAAGAAATGCAGCAACAAGAAAACAAACATGAAACAAAACCAAAACAACCCACCCAGGGCGGGCAGCGGGGGTCCAGGACGGAGGGCCAGAAACAAAACCACAAAAACAAAGAATCTGAAGCACTCAGTCCAAACACAAGGGCTTAAGAGTCCGAGACCCTGTTTCAGGAGGGCGACCATGATCTCGGCAGAAAAGGAGTTCATGGCGGAGTAGTTCAGGTGGCCGACCTGGAGGCCGATGGCACAGTAGTCCATAGTTCAAGGGTTCAGGGGGCCGGCCATGTGGAAGGTGGCAGTGGCGAAGCAAGCATGGCTGGCCACACTCGGGTGGCTTGGCTCGTGGCCGGCGGCAACATGGACGAGACCTGTCGGGTGGCTTGGCTCGTGGCCGGCGGTGACGTGGACGAGACCTGTCGGGCGGCTTGGCGGGTGGTCGACGGCGTGGACGATAATCCTTGGATGGTTTGGTTGGTTTCCGTCGACAGGCTGTCCTGACAGGCTCCGGAAACAGCCGTGCTAGACCTGGACGTGGCTTGGCAGGTGGAAGGAGACAAGGCTGAGGCGTGGCAGGCACAGATAATGGCGCTGCAGGCGATGGCGTGGAAGGATGCTGGGCGCGCTTGGCTGAACCTCCAGCTGGCACAACAGGACCAGGCGAGGCAGGGCCAGACGCAGCAGAGGCCAGACCAGACGAGGCTGAAGACTCTGACGAAGCTGGACCAGACGAGGCTGAAGACTCTGACGAAGCTGGACCAGGTGACGACGAGGCGGCCGCAGGTGGCGGCTGAACGGTCCCCTCGGACCCTCCAGCTGATGAGGCATGAGGCTGGACGGGCTCCTCGGGCCCGCCAGCTGACGAGGCGTGAGGCTGGACGGGCTCCTCGGGCCCTCCAGCAGACACAGGAAAAGGCTGCACAAACTCCAACTTAGCCCCTGGCTCCAACCTGGCCTGGATCTCGGTCCCACAGTAGCTTAGCTGAGCCTCATGGCTAGCACTTCCAGTGCAAACAGTCTTATAATTTGGCTTCTTGGAAGCAAAGTTCATAGCATGATCAATACACTGGGATGCTAGGTAATTGTGCAGAGGGATAAGATATTCCGTGGAAGACTTGGCTGGTGATTTTTCAGTCTTAGTCATTTCATAAACATGCCCATGAACCTTTAAGGCAGTGTTTGTTCCAATATTGTCCTTAGAAAAAACGCGTGGATTCAGAATACAATCACCCACCTCATGTTGCTGTGAGCCGTGGTGACGACCTGGATGCCGCCTCCTCCTGGAAGCCGTGGTCGTGGAGGCCGGCGCCGCTACGGCTGAGATGAATGTAGCGCTGGAAGCAGCCACCGGTTGAGGTGAGGAAAACGCAGCACTTGTCTGCTGCAGTGGCGACATGGACATGGAGACAGGCGGGAGACTCAACACGCCAACTTTAGCTCCTATAGCTGGCATAGGGAGGGCTGCGTCACAGAGGGGCTGGAGTAATTCAGTCTGCATGCTGGGGGGCTGCTTTGGCAACACGGTGCGGATGAAGCCGTGCAAATCCTCCGACAATCCCTCCATGTAAGCCGGGTATGCAGACAGAATCCGGTACAGCTGAACTCTAACTGACTCCTTCTCACTCTCCTGTCTGCACGCAGAATAGATTTTCCACTGTCCATGGAGAATGGTCACACGAGTGCTGAACTCCCAAAAATCCTCAAAGATGTCTGCTGGGTCCATTCTGGTCAGGTCGTTCTGTCACAGTCTGGCGAGGGCAGACTGTATGAATTGAAAAAAAGGACCCAAAATGCAGACTCCAAGGAACAGGGAACAAAACTTGAATGTTAACAAAAGGTGAGCCGTTTAATATGGCTGGTAGAAAAGGTACAAACAAAGGGCAAGGCAAACTGAAGCAAAATTAACACAAACCTAAACTGGGGAATCTAAACAAACAATAAGAAAAACCTAGACAAGAAACTTGGAAGCATGGCATGGACAACAGACGACCTGACCATCACACACTGAAAACAGAGGACTTAAATACACAGGAGGTGATTAGGGGAAGTGGAGACACATGAGGAAACAGCTGGCACACATGAACATAATGACGTCACAGTGGGAGAGTAAAACTGAACATGATGAACACAGAACACCAGACCTCTTCACAATAAAACAGGAAACATAATGAGACATAGACATGACAACCCGAACTTGACAACGTAAGACACAGACATGAAACACATTAAGAGCAGGGGAGATTTAACATGGTTGGAAACACGAGGGGAAAATAATAACTAGAAACACTTAGGCATAATAATACAAACTTGATAACATAAGACACGCAGCATGAAACACGAAGGGTGAGGGGAAGCTTAAATACAGGGGAAGAAAACACAAGGAGTCTAATAACCAAATGAACTTAGATAACCTAATGAACAAAATAAACTCAAACTTAAAACGCTGGGTCAAAAGACCCAGGACCATGACAAGCAGTCCTGTCCTGTAGTCCATCGTGTTGAATTGCTTGATTGCTTCTGTTCTCCCTGCAGTCAGTTAAGTAGACCTGATGAGTTTTTAAATTTTGCATTGACTCCTCCTCATAGGAAGGTGATAACTGTACAGTATCACAGATACTCTGAATATGTAGTTTGTGTATAATTTAAATATCAAAGCCAGATCAGTTATGACAATTATTAATTGTATTTCTTTTACATAAGTTATTCCTTGTAAAGTTTTGTCTTTTTTGTTTATAATTTTTGTTTGTTGCTGTGTGAGGCAGGCACGATTGGACCCAAAAGTACAGGACTCACAGGCAAAACTAAACTTAAAGGCAGCTTTACTGCAAATTCACAGATAACAAAACTAAAACTGGGAAGACACTAGGCAGGCAGAATACACAGAACTGAGGGATGAGGGACATGCAGATAATATAAACACAGAAGGGTTAATTAGGGAACAGGCCACAGGTGAAAACACAGCTAACATAAATGTGACTGATGAGACAGGGGAAGCCAAATTGAACACAAAGCACAAGAGGCAAAATAAGACACACGGATACACAGACTAGGGCACACAACTTGATGTGGGAAGAGTATAACAAACATAACAAGCAAATAGATATGGCAGAGTGGAACGACAGAGAGAGCCAGGGAGGTAGAGACATGAAAGTGAGATAGCTAGAGACAGAGGACGAGGGAGAGACAGAGACAGAGAGAGAGCAAGCTTGACATTCATAAACAGACATGATAGACCTCACAGAGACCCGACTGGGGAAATAGACAAACTAGCATTCAAGATTCAAGGTTTCAAAGTGTTTATTGTCATGTGTGCAAAGAAAAAGCATTTCTCTCTGCTTTCCACACATAGACGCTGGTTAATATGTACAAATAGATTAAATAAAAATAGCATGAATAAATAAATGGAGACAAAACATTGAAGTATTAAATAGATTTATGTGCAAAAGAGCTAAAACATGGAGACAAGGCTGACTTTACAGGGAGACACCAATAACTAACACAGGAAATTAGACACAAGAGGACGGGGAACACACAGGGAGGTCTGACACAATGTAAAACAGAACAAGATTAAATATACTGAGGTAATGACAGCAACAAACAATATAAACGTTAACTGACTGTAAAATTCATAATGAACAAAACCAGAAAATCCACTAACTCAAAACACTGGATCAAAACCAAAAACCACAACAGTTGTACTGTTTTCCTACCCTGTCTGTTTTCATATGTGTTTCTCTGTGTTGCCTGGATTTGAAGCATTGTGTTACAAACTGTTATATTTTGGGCTGGACTTTTTTTCAGCCAAAATAAAAGGCTCACCTTTTTTGACTTAGGGTTAGCGTCCTGCATTTTGTGTCCTCACTTTAAATACTCTACAATATGACACCCTGTCTGTTAACCTAATAAGAGTGTCTTTGGACTAAGAGGGGAAGCCAAAGTACTGGGAGTTCACAGAGAACATCCAAACTCTCACACCAGAAAGCTTCAGCCAGCTGCTGGATTCAAATTTAAATGGAGTATCTGTGCTTCATGTCACATTATCTAATAATAAAGTGATGCCGCCTAAGAAACGATGTTCACCTCAAATGTGTCATACAAACTTGTCTCCTTCCATTCAAGCTTTTTATGCATTTCTTAATATTCCTTGTTTTCTTGTTTGTTGTATAATCATGTACAGCGCAGTACAGTCTTCCAGATTATCCTCTTTTGTATTATAGTTTGGACGGTTTCATCAACTTTGTCTTTAACCTGTTCCCTGCTTTTTTGATTATTCGCTGCACTGATAGTCTGTTCATGATTGTTACCATGATTGTTAAATATTTGGATTGTGGGTTATACTCTTCTGCATGAAGCTTGTGCACAATATATAAGGAAGATCTGTAATCACTCATCAGCCTTACATGACTACTGCTAACCCTTTCTTCTCAACCACCTTCTCAGAGACAATCAGCCTCAATCTTCGCATGGTTTAAATCTGTGCTCTCCATCATTCTCCATTTCAGATTCTCCTGCCTGCAACCCACCTTCTCACCAACTACACCTCAGAGACCTCAGCCAGAGCTCCATTCAAGCCTCAGTCTTCATCGTCACCACCATCAATAGCGTCTCGACTCTGGGGGGTCCTGTCCTAAATCCTATCATTGCTGGGATTCCATTGTGCCATGATGGATCATTTGAGTCTAATCGCCAAATACATTAACTTCTCTAATTCAGTAAATCATGTTCAAGTCTTCCAAGTCATCACTCATGACTGAAATAGTGTTATGTGTTAAGGTCCTTATAATAAAGACATTTCTTAGTATGTGAATTAATGTTTTGATGGGCTGCATTATGGCACAAGATTGATATTTTTCAGAACAAACAGTGTTATGTGTCTAGTGATTAAGTAAAAGTGAAAAGCTGTTACCACACAGGCAATCACCTGAAAGAGAACAATTATTAAGCGGGAGCCAATATTATTATTTTTAATAATAATAATAATAATAATAATCATCATCACCATCATCACCACCATCATCATCATCATCATCATCATATCAGAGTATCCCTCTTTAACCTTTAACGGAAATACTGAATTTGTTTCTGAGTGAATCGTTGTAGTATGTTGTGTATGCTGCACGCTCTTCTCCAATCCATTCCAGTCATTTTCCTGCAGGCTGTCTGACCCAGTGAGTCCAATAGCTGCTCACAGCTAGACCTGACAGGTGATGGTCAGAGGTTGAGCTGGCCGCACAGTCAAAGAGGCTGGCTGTGTCAGCTGT